TCATCTGACTCTAAAATCTGTTACATTAACTCCTGCATCAAGAATTCTCAAATTTCAGTTTCCTAAGAATCACCCAAAGACCTTATAAAACACAGATTAATGGATCCCACCCTAGTATTGTGGAGTCACTAATTCTGGAGTGAAACCACAGAATTTAAATTTCTAACAAGTTTCCAAATGATGCTGATCGCTCTCTCAACACAACACAGTAGCCTGTACACTTTCTTATTGCTCTTATTGGTCTCAAAAAACTCAAGTCAGCTGTTTCCATCCTAAGGAAGCTTTAACTCTCCTCTCCTCCCTCATCAGTCATGTGCTCCTAAGACAACATGTGCTTCCAAATATATATCAGTAACTGGCCAGTGCCGCGGCTCACTAGGCTAATCCTCCTCCTCGGTGCCAGCACTCCGGGTTCTAGTTCTGGTTGGGGTGCCGGATTCTGTCCCGGTTGCTCCTCTTCCAGTCCAGCTCTCTGCTGTGGCCCGGGAAGGCAGTGGAGGATGGCCCAAGAGCTTGGGCCCTGCACCCGCATAGGAAACCAGGAAGAAGCATCTGGCTCCTGGCTTCAGATCAGCGCAGCACGCTGGCTGTAGCGGCCATTTGGGGGGTGAACCAACGGAAGGAAGACCTTTCTCTCTGTCTCTCTAACCGTCAAATATATATATATATATAAAATATACATATATACATATAAATATATCATATATATATATATATATATCAGTAACAACTAAAACTGAAACTCTGCACTCATCTGTCCCAACCACTACTTTGTGAGCACCTCAAGGGCACAGGTGATACTATTCATCCTTTTTTCTTTTAACATATCTAATTTTTTAATTTAAAAAAGTTTAACAGACATAAAAATTGTACATACTTATGGGATACTATGTAATATTCTGGTTTTCCTTTTTTAAATTTTTTATTGTGGACAATTATAAAATTTATCATTTTAAGTGTGGAGTCCAGTGTCATAAGGTACATTCACATTGTTGTGCAACTGTCATTGTCATCCAACTTCAGACTGTCCTTCATCTTCCCAAACTGAAATTCTGTATCCATCAAGCAATAACTCTCCTTTATCTTCTCCTCCAGTTCCTATTAACCACTATTCTACTTTCTGTCTCTATTCATCTTAATACAGACAGGGTCTAACATCTGTATGTGCTACTCGAAGGTATGGTTTCAAGAACTTTAGAATTGAAAGAATTAAATCTCTTCATTCTTTTTTTTTTTTTTTTGACAGGCAGAGTTAGACAATGAGAGAGAGAGAGACAGAGAGAAAGGTTCCTTCTGTTGGTTCACCCCCTAAATGGCCACTACGGCCAGCACTGCACCGATCTGAAGCCAGGAACCAGGTGCTTCCTCCTGGTCTCCCATGCGGGTGCAGGGCCCAAGCACTTGGGCCATCCTCCACTGCACTCCCTGGCCACAGCAGAGAGCTGGACTGGAAGAGGAGCAACCGGGACAGAACCGGCGTCCCAACTGGGACTAGAACCTGGAGTACCAGCGCCACAGGCAAAGGATTAGCCTAGTTAGCCGCAGTGCTGGCCAATCTCTTTATTCTTAAGCATCAAATTAAAGAACAAATAAAAGGTTATTTTAGGGGCTGGCATTGTAGCATAGCGAGTAAAGCCACTGCCTGCAACACCAGTATCCCATATGGGTGTCAGTTAGTATCCTGGCTGCTCCACTTCCAATCCAGCTCCCTGTTAATGGTTTGGAAAAAGCAGCAGAAGATGACTCAAGTGCCACTTACGTGGGAGAACCAGATGAAGCTCCTGGTCTCTTGCTTCGGCTTTGCTCAGCACTGGTCGTTGAAGCCATCTGTGGAATGAGCCAGTGGTAGAAAATTTCTCTCTCTCTTCCTCTCTCTCTATCTCTTTATCTCTATTTGTATCTTTGACTTTCAAATGACTAGATAATTTTAAAAAAAGCTACAATTCATGTAGAATGGTATATATTACTGCTGGAGTTATAAGCAGGCAAATGATGCATGGCTATTGAAAACTACCATCTTGAAGACAAGTATTTAATTCAGAGGCTAAGATGCTCCTCAGAACATCCAAAGCCCAGAGAGCCTGGCTTGAATCCTGGCTCCTCCATCTCCAATCCAGCTTCCTGGTAATGTGCATGCTGAGAGTTAGAAGGTGATGGCTCAAGTACATGGATTCTTGCTACTCATATGGGAGACCCAGACTGAGCTCCAGGCTCCTGGCTTCAGCCCGGCCCTGCCCTGGTTGTTTCAGGAATTTGGAGAGTAAACCAGAAGATAGAAGACCAATTTCTCTCTCTCTCTCTCTCTTTCTCTCTCTCTCTCTCTCCCTACTTTCAAATGCAATGAAAATAAAGAAATAATTTCTAAATAAATAAAATCAATCTCTTGGTTCTACCAAGAATAAGTAATTTTTAAATAATTATTTTTTAAGTTAGTATAAATATTAAATATTTATAAGTTAGCAAAACATGAAAAACTACCTGAAGGAATATAAAATGAGGCTTTTCCCCCCTTTTTGACTCAAATAGCCAAAATCCCTGACTTGAGTTTACACTTCCCTCAGACAATATGCTCACCGATATCTATTATCATGCCACCTGAATCAACAGGAAAAGAAGAAACCTAATGAGATGAATGTTGCATAAAAAGCACAAATGCAATACCAATAAAAATACCAAGGACATTCTCAAATACAGAAAACATGATGCTGAAATTCATATGGAAACACAGAAGACCCCAAATAGCTAAAGCAACCTTACACAACAAAAACAAAACTGGGGGTATCACTATACCAGATTTCAAGACATACTACAGGGCAGTTATAATCAAAACAGCCTGGTACTGGTACCAAAACAGATGAATAGGCCAATGGAACAGAACAGAAACTCCAAAAACTAACCAAAGGACAACCTTATGACAAAGAAGCTAAAATCAATCCCTGGAGCAAGGACAGCCTCTTCAACAAATGGTGTTGGGAAAGCTGCATCTCCACATACAGAAGTATGAAGCAAGACCCCTACCTTACACCATATACAAAAATCCACTCAAAATGGATTAAAGACCTTTATCTATAACCTTATACCATCAAATTATTAGAAAATATTGGGGAAAACATACAAGATGTTGACTTAGGCAAAGAGTTCTTGGAAAAGACCCAACAGGCATAGGCAGTCAAAGCCAAAATTGACAAATGGGATTACATCAAATTGAGAAGCTTCTGCACTGCAAAAGAAACACTCAGCAAAGTGAAGAGACAACTGACAGAAGAGGAGAGATTATTTGCAAACTATGAAATTGATGAAGAATTAATGTCCAGACTATACAAAAGTTCAGGAAACTCCACAACAACAAAATAAACAACCCAGTTAAGAAATGGGCAAAGGATTTAAGCAGAAATTTTTCAAAACAGGAAATGCAAACGGCCAACAGACACATAAAAAAAAAAGTTCAGGTTCACTAGCCATCAGGGAAATGCAAATCAAAACCAAAATGAGGTTTCACCTCATCTCCATTGGAATGGCTTTCATATACAATCAACAAACAACAAATGCTGGTGAGGTTGTGGGGGAAAAGGTACCCTAATCCACAGTTGGTAGGCATGTAAACTGGTACAGCCACCATGGAAGACAGTATGGAGATACCTCAGAAATCTGAATGTAGACCTACCATATGACCCAGCCATTACACTCCTGGTAATTTCCTCAAAGAAATGAAATCAGCATATGAAAGAGTTATCTGCACCTCCATGTTTATTGCAGCTCAATTCACAGTAGCTAAGATGTGGAATCAATCCAAATGCCTGGAAACTAAAGACTGGATAAAGAAATTATGGGATATGTACACCATGGAATACTACACAGAGGTAAAAAAAAATGAAATCTTATCATTTGCAACAAAATGGATGCACCTGGAAAACATACTTAGTGAAATAAGTAGTCCCAAAGGACAATACCATATGTTATCCTTGATCTGTGGTAGCTAATAGAGCACTTGAAAGTAATCTATAGAAGGGGCCGCTGGTGTGGGAGCCGGCAACCCATGTGGGAGCCAGTTGTAGTCCCAGCTGCTCCTCTTCTGATCCAGCTCTCTGCTATGGCCTGGGAAGGCAGTACAAGATGGCCCAAGTCTTTGGGTCCCTGTATCCATGTGGGATGGAAGACCTCTCTATCTCTACCCTCTCTGTAATTCTGTATTTCAAATAAATAAAAATAAATCTTTAAAAAAAGTAATCTATAATGTGTTGTACAATGTGAATTAATGCTATAACTAGTACTCAAACAGTATTTTACACTTTGTGTTTCGGTGTGGGTGCAAACTGTTGAAATCTTTACTTAATTTATACTAAATTGATCTTCTGTATATAAAGATAATTGAAAATGAATCTTGATGTGAATGGAAATGGAGAGGGAGTGGGAGATGGGAGGGTTGCAGGTGGGAGGGAAGTTATGGGGGGGGAGCCATTGTAATCCATAAACTGTACTTTGGAAATTTATATTTATTAAATAAAAGTTAAAAAAACAAAAAAAGTAATCTATAGAAGTGAAATTGATAATCCGAGATGTGATGACTTCGAACAGTCCTTGTCTCCACTATTGAGGAATAGTTTTATTTTTCATACTACTTGTTGAACTCTTTCCTTAGCATAGAGTTAATATTATGTGTACAAAGTTAATCGAAAATAGATCTTAGTAAAAAATAAGAATGGGAATAGGAGAGAGAGGAGGAGGGGTGGGAGTATGGTGAGAAGGCAGGTGGGGGAAGAATCAATATATTACTAAAGGTGTATTTATGAAATAGATGAAGTTTGTATACCTTAAATATAAGGTTTTTGGGGGACAAAAACAAAAAAACTGTTCTGTATACATAGACATAGATTTAAGAGGAAACATTGTAATTAAAGAGGTTTCATAATTTACTTCTATAAATATAAGCTCTTGTCCACTTTTTAAAAAAACATATTTGTGGTAATAGCAATGTCCTAGTTAATTTATTTGGTACTTACAGAACATATAAAAGATGGACCTTAAGGCCAACATTCTTAAAAGGATTCTTAAGTAATGACTCCATATAACAGATGAATAATTTCAAGTCCCCTTTCATCTGGCACTGTATGTCCCAGTTTGCACCTGAATTAAAAACAAACTACAATAAACCCGAAAAACATTCTGAACAATTCCATGAAAGAGATGAGCTAAATTAAATTTACCAATGTTCTGATACAACATCCACAGCCCAGTCTAAGAGAGAAAGGGCAGCTTGAACTAATGGTATGGATGCACCCAAGTAATTTAGTCCCTCCAGTCTCTAGTTTCCTTTTTTGCAAAGTAAGAAAATTAAATTCAATTATTGTTTCCCAAAATTTTATTTAAAATCAAGCCAACCGAGTAGGGTAAAATAGCCACAAATTCACCTGGCTCAGTTTATTCTCACTTTTCAAGAGAAAAAAAGAACTGTCAAGGTACAAGCATATTTGGAGGAGCGTTTTGAGTCTCAGCTTTAGTAAATGAAGGTACAGTGGTTCACCTTCAAAATATGATGTATGCCTTTAATGCCCCACTATTCAAATGTCACTGGCCCTAAATATAACTGATGAAAGATTTCACTGCATGCTGAAACACTTACCTGATAATAATGAAGATGAACAACTGTGATTTGTAATTTAGAAAGCAAGAACAGCAACTATTGAAAACTATGACAACAGTAAGATAATACTAATATCAAACCAGAAGCATTTCCAGATAGAAAAACCGTGTAACACTGCTAAGCTCTATGAAGAAACAGTCGACTTGGCAGAATAATGTGTTGAAATTCTCACCATGGTTTTGATAAGGTAAGCTCATTTTAAAAAATAACTAAGTAATAGCCTTCATCTATACTGCAAAAATAAATTCTATAGTATAGTAATCGCTCCTCTTCATAACTGATAATTTTTTTATCATTTCATAGCTCATCTCTAGCACTCTTATATATAAAGTAGACTAAAAATTCTGTGGAAAGTTTATTTTGGTACAAAAAAATTTCATGGATAGTTTTTACTTAATGTACATCTTCCATGATTTCATGAAGACCCCTCATTTTAATAATCCCTGAATCGGCTAAATTTCTGTATAAATTTTTTAAGTGCTTTATTTAAAATTAAATTAATGGCTATGCATGAAACTGGAAAAACTAAGTGTTATAACTACTAACTTGTTTTAAAAGTCTGCTTTTATTGCATTTTTAGATTTTAACCTTATTCCTAAACTGATTTCAACACACTGGAGTATTTTTCCCACTAAATCAACAGTGCTGAACCAAGCATGATTTCCTACTGTAGGTAATTATAATGGACAGGAGATGCTGTTGGTATCTGTATCTATGGGTAAAGGCCAGGGCTACTGCTAACCATCTCACAGTACAAAGGACAACTCCCTACGACCAAGAATTATCTGCCCCAAAATTAACAGCATCAACTGAGAAATCCTGATTGACCTTAAATAGGAATGTTATAAACACCCTGTATTTTCATCCTGTAAGTTTCTTTATATGGCTAACTCAACTGACTGCTTTTTTAAGCCTTTCCAGGAAACAAATTTATTGTTTATACTTACAGATGAATTACTAAATACACTAGTTATGCTCAGTATGCATTATACTTCAAACAAGAAAAACCTCTTGATTAAAATGTATATTGTGGGGCCAGCACTGTGGCATAGCGGGTAAGCCACTGCCTGCAGTTGCCAGCCATCCCATATGGGTGCAAGTTCGAGTCATATCTGCTCCACTTCCAATCCAGTTCTTTGCTATGGCCTGGGAAAGCAGTGGAGGATGTACCAAGTCCTTGGGTCCCTGCACCCACGTGGGAGACCTGAAAGAAGCTCCTGGAGCCTGGCTTCAGATGGGCGCAGCTCCAGCCATTGCGGCCAATTGGGGAGCAAACCAGCAGACGGAAGACATCTCGTTTTCTCTCTGTTCCTCTCTTCCTCTCTCTGTTGTAAGTATATTGTTTCAGAGAGATTCTTTGCCTAAACAAATTATTTATAAACATTTTAAAATTTAACAAATCCTATAGTATTAATAGTCATTTGATATTTTATCTATTTTACAAAATTAAGATGTTCTTTTTCTGTTCTAAAGCAAATTTATAAGACCACAAGGCATGTACTTAAAGATGAAAACGTTCCCTTATTACATTTTAATTGGATATAAAATAATTTCATGTTTATTTATTAGTTTGGTCACATGATGAATCCTATTTCTATTAGCATAAAAATGATAATATACAATAAAAATCATATTCATAAGGCATGTATTTCCTAAAGTTTCAGAGAATTAAAACACTTTGTTAAATATAATTTTTAAAAATAACAGCAAATGCTTGGAGCATTACAATACTTACCTACTTGTTGAAAAACTAAGGAATTTACTGTTGAAACAAATGTCTTCCCTTCAATGTTGTCTGCACGCACAGAGCAGTTAGTATCTTGCTCACTCCAAAAACAACAGTAAAATGTTGTTTGGGATAAGTTAGAAAAGTAGGTGTCACTTGAATTAAATTTATCTTCAATAATTGCTTCATAATGTCCACTAGAATTTGAAGTGTTCTTGGAGATTCCAGCAGGCAAGAGGAAATAGTCATGGGTTGCATTTGCTGGCATGCAAGACAACTTAAATCTCCAGGGAGTAACTGGATATGCCAAGTTAAATGCAGTTATCACACAAACAAACTCTGTTAGAACATTAAAAGGACATAGAAAATGAGAAATCATTCTGACGAAGACATAAACAGGAAGTATATGAGAGTAGACCATGTAGTGCTCAATAAGAACTATTTAATGTTCTAAACACTCAATCAATGCCTAATGAGTAGCTCTTGTTGTTCAATGTGTTATACTTAAGAGGGTTCATTTATTTATTTATTGAAACAGCTCTACTCTCAGGCACCTCCTTTTGGAAATTTGTGCTTCATTTTTCCTCATTAAGCTAACATCTTATATTTATACTTTAATAAAAGGAAATTAACACTAAATATTTTAATTCCCTTTTCCAAATTGAAGTTATTCTACCATCAGCACAAATGATAAATATCTGTGTGTGCAATAAGATAAGCAAACAATAAAGTGTTCTTTTAGTATTTCTTAAAAAAGACTAACACCAAAACGAGAACATTGCTTTCAATGACACCACAGAAAGGATGTGTCATCAACATGAGGATACCTGGATCTTTGAATCCACTCAGGCTCCTCCAGATAGGAGACACCATATACTACACTTTTTTTTTTTTTTATACGACACTTTCTTAATGCACTCTGAGAAGTGATATACACAGACTTCTTACAGGAAGCTTCTGTTGATCATGTTACCTTTTTTTTTTTTTTTTTGCTTTTTAAAATTTATATAAAGGGAACAGATTTTATGTATTTTATCCATACAGTTTTAAGAGAATAATGAAAGAAACACTCCTATAATTCTGTACCCCCAAAAACACTCAAAAGTTAAATAACTGTTTAAAAATTAAATAATAATTAGTTCTTCATAATCCCTTTTTCAAATTACTCAAGTAATCCAACAGTGTTATCATTTACAGATATACTAATAAGCAATGAATTCTGAGAATTCTGTATGAATTTGTATGGAATGAGAATTCTGAAGAGTTATGATAAATGTAAAAATCTAAGAAGACAGAAGTCATCAAGATGAATAGCTGCATAACCTGGACTATGTCCAGACAATGAAATATTACTCATTGCGAAAGAGCTATTAAGCCATGAAGAGACATGGAGGAAACTTAAATGCATGTTACTAAGAGAAAGAAGCTGCTCTGATAAGGCTATACCCAATAGGATTCCAAGTATATGACATTCTTGATAAAGCAAAACTATGAAGAAATAAAAAGATCTGTGTATGCCAATAGTTAGTGGAGTGGGAAACAGGGAGCAATGAGCAGGCAGCACACACAAGTGAATAGTGCAGTGAATATATTTGTTATGATTCTGTAACTAAGATAAATATTCATTAAAAACCATAGAATGAGCACCAAGAGTGAACCTCAATGTAAAGACTGGGTGGCAAGGATATGCCAGAGTGGGTTCATGAATTTTTACATAGGTAACACTTGAATGGGGAATGCTGGTAATGGGGAGGCTATGCAGGAGGTACTCTGTACCTTTCCCAATTTTGCTGGGAGTGTGAAACTCCTTTTAAAAGTCTACTTAAGGCCGGCGCCGTGGCTCAATAGGCTAATCCTCCGCCTTGCGGCGCCGGCACACCGGGTTCTAGTCCCGGTCGGGGCGCTGGATTCTGTCCCGGTTGCCCCTCTTCCAGGCCAGCTCTCTGCTATGGACCAGGAAGGCAGTGGAGGATGGCCCAAGTGCTTGGGCCCTGCACCCGCATGGGAGACCAGGAGAAGCACCTGGCTCCTGGCTTCGGATCAGCGCGGTGCGCCGGCCACAGCGCGCAGGCAGCAGCGGCCATTGGAGGGTGAACCAACGGCAAAAGGAAGACCTTTCTCTCTGTCTCTCTCACACTATCCACTCTGCCTGTCAAAAAAAAAAAAAAAAGTCTACTTAAAAATGTAAGAAAATAGAAGCTGTAAAAGCCAATTAGTAAGTGTGGTTTTAACTATAAAGTCCATACATGTAAAAATATTCAACAACCTAAGAAATTATTGTTAAATATTACCTATTTGTAAAAAATATAAATATGTAGATAAGTATGTGTAGATACAAAAATTAAACCAAAAATGATTGACATGACTAACATTAGGTACCATAACATCACCAAAAGTAAATCCTCATTACAATTGTGTTCCTTCAGACTTCAATCCTTCTAACAAATTATTATGAAATAAAACATCTCGTGAATACAGAAGATTTTTGATTGTATAAAACCATAAATGTCTAATAGCACTACATATGAGCATTTTTACCTGCACATGGAGGATTCAGTTGACTGTCATGAAATCAACCTAAAATCTTCAAAAAGAAGTATTGAAGTCTAAAATGGAATAATAAACTTCATAGATACAAAAACATAGAATCAGTTTAATTAAAAAATGGGTCTACTTTGTTTACATGTTTCCTTTACAAATATTTCTTTCCCTCCAGAATCCTAAACAACAAAAGATCCTAAATTTTCATCTGAAGGCATATATGTCAGGTGACAATATTCAAGGAGCTCTTCTGATTCATAAACTTGATCAAACCACAAACCTTTCAGAAACCAATATGAAATATTAGAGTCTAACAAAAATTAGCTAAAGGAAAAGACAATGAAGAGTTCTATTAAATACATCTCAAAAAATTGTTTAAAAAATATAAGAGGAGTGGTCATTTGGCTTAGCATTTAAGAGGTCACTTGGGGCACCAGCAGTGTGATACAGCAGGTTAAGCCACAGCCTGCAGTACCAGCATCCCTTATATACTCGAGTCTGAGTCTTGGTGCTATACTTCCCATCCAGCTCCCTGCTAATGTGCCTGGGAAAAGCAGAGGAGGATGGCCCAAGTCCTTGGGCCCCTGCACCTACGTGAGAGACCTGGAAGAAGCTCCTGTCTCCTGGCTTTCGTTTGGGCCAGCCCCAGCCATTGCAGCCATTTGGGAAGTAAAACAGCAGATAGAAGATCTCTCTCTCTGTCTGTGTCTCTATCTCTCTCTTTCTCACTTTCTGTAACTCTGTCTTTCAAATGAATAAATATATCTTTTAAACAAAGGTGGAGAGAGTGATCACTTGGGACATCCACATCTCAAATCAGAGTGTCTACCTCTATTTTCAGTTTCCTGTTAACATGCAAATTGGGAGGTATTAGTGATGGCCCAAATAGTTGGTTTCCTGCCAACCACATGGGAGACCTGACTCCTGGCTTTGGCCTGGCTCAGCTCTGGCTGTTGAACCAGTAGATCAGAGCCTTCTCTCTGTGCTAACAAAATCTTTAAAATATAAAAGATAATGTGTTATTTCTGCTTGATAGTCCCTGTGGTATAGTTTTTTGGAAAACTATAATAGCAGAGCTCATCTCAACAGTAGGATACAGATAGCTGCAATGAAAAAGATCATATGCACAACAAGGAATACTAGCAGGGAAGGTTATAAGAGCCCCTTTGTAGTCAAGCAGCAACAGAGAGATCAGAACTGGTCAGCACACAGGTAACAGTTGCCAAAACCTTGGAACACAATCTAATTTAGATTTAGATTAGGAAAAACTTAAATATAAGACTCGTAACTATGAAACTACAGGAAGAAAACAAGAGAGAAAAGCTCCATGACATTGATGAAGGCAATGGTTTTCTGGATATGAGCTGAAAAGCACAGCAACAAAAATAAAAGTAGACAAACATGATCACGTCAACCTAGAAGGCGTCACAGCACAGGAAACAATCAACAGAGTAAAGAGACAAGCTACAGGGGAAAGTATCTGCAAACAATATGAGGGGATATCAAAAGGTTTGTGGATGAAATGGAATTAAAAGATAAATATAAAATGTATAAAGCTAATTTCTCAACATAATCTCCATTAAGCTAAAGACATTTTTGTACTTTGGGGAGTGATGATAGCAGCCATTTCGTTCATTCCTAAAAACCTGAATGCCCTGGGAATTTAACCATGTCAATGCAATCTTCTTCCAAGTACTAACCGAGGAAAAAATGGATGTCCTTTGAAAGATTTCTTAAGATTAGGAAACAAAAGCCAGAAGGAGTCAAATTAGGACTGTAAGGAGCATGCCTAATGACTTCCCACTGAAATTCTCATAGAATTGCTCTTGTTTGATGAAAGGAATGGGCAGAAGCATTGTTGTGATGGAGAAGAACTCTCTGGGGAAATTTTCCCAAGGTATTTCTGATAAAGCTTTGGCTTACTTTCTCAAAACATTCTCACAATTTGGCCTTCCAGAAAGTCACCAAGAAAAATACTTGGGGATCACAAAAATTTATTGCCATCATTTTTGCTTCTGGCTAGTGTGCTTTGGCTTTGCCTTGATCTCTTCCATCTCTGGGTAGCCATTTCTTTGTGCTGTTCTTCAGTATCATACTGGTAAATCCATATTTAGCTCCTGTTCCAACGCTTTGAAGGAAGCATAAGTACCTTGGTCCCCTTTGTATACATTTTCCACTGAAGGCTTCACTTGTGTCTTCAGCTAATCTAGGCGCAAAATTTTTGGTACCTATTTGGTAGAAAGTTTGATTACTATTTCTTCTGCTAATCATTGATCTGATCTTCTTCAAATAGGGCACAAATATGATTCGTTTTTCTCTTAGAAGTTGATGTGGGTGGTCTGCTTCTGCAGGCTTCTACAACATTGTCTTGTTCCTTCTTAAAATAAATTATATTTTTGTTAATTATCAATTTCTTTGGAGCATCGTTCTCATAAACTTTTTGGAAAGTGTAAGTGACTTTTCAACATTTTCCCACCCAAGCTTCACCATAAATTGGAGTTTGTTCTCGCTCAGCATCAACAGAACTTAAGTTGCTGTAACAGAGGCTGTTTTCAAATCAATGTCTTATCTTTCTCAGTTTCTTAAACTAGATCCTGTTTAACCATGTGATGACAAATTAGTATGAATTTATTTTGGTGCAAAACAAAATTTGAAGTCCACGCATTGTTTTTTCAAAACATACCTTTTCCATGAATTTTTGAAGACCCTGTACATCTGATAAAGAGTTACTATTCAAACTCAAAGTTCAAAATAGCAAATAAGACAAATCACCTGGCAAATCACCTGAATAACCAATT